CCCAGCCTCTGGCGGTAGGAGAGGCGCCAGGGCCAGGAGGCAGATGCAACCTGGGGGCAGGGTGACCCCCAGCACTCCTCCAGGGCAGTCCTATTGGCTGGTTCCTTGCTCTTTCCTCGAACTTTAGAGGTGGGGGAGCCCTGGGACTCCCCCCACGGTTGGTATTCATCGTTCCCCAGCTTACGAGGCAATGGGTCCCGCAGCACAGTGGAAGAGACAGTGGGTGTGGTAAGAGGCTCCTTATGTGGGGTGTGGCGGTGGCTAACGCCTGTAGTCCCACCACTTTGGGAGCTCGAGGCAGGGAAACACCTGAGAGGTCCAGGAGTTTGGAGACCGCCTTGGGTTGACTGGCAAAGAACCTCATCTCCTACTAAAATTTCAAAAAAAAACCCCAATTACCCCTAGCCTGGTGGTGCCATGCTGTCATTCCAGCTACTCAGGAGCTTGAGATAATCGAGAAATCATTTGGAGGCCTGGAAGGTAGGAGTGCAGTGAGCTGAGATCGCACCAACTGGAATCCAGCCTGGGACCACAGAGGTGCACTGTCTCAAAACAAACCGAACGCAAAACAAAGACCCTTAGATCAAAACTGGTTCCGGGACTCAGTTCCTACCTGGTACCATTCAACCTACTTTGCATTTCCTAAGTTTTTCTTTTTTTCTTTTTTTTTTTTTTTGAGACGCAGTGTCGCTCCCCTGGTCCGCCCAGGCTGGAGGCAAGTGCTGGATCCTCAGCTCCACGCAAGCTCCGCTTCCGGGTTCACGGCCATTCTCCCACTACCTCAGTCCTCCCGAGTAAGCCTGGAAAGGAGCCCGCCAACCGCCTGGCTTAGTTTTTTGTTGATTTTTCAGTAGAGGGGGCGTTCACCATCATTTACCAAGGGAGTCTCGATCTCCTGACTTATTTGTGGATCCCGCCATTCTCGGCCTCCCAAAAGTGCTGGTTATAAAACACAGGCTGTGAGCCACGCGCGGCAAAGTCTCCCTCTGTTTCTTTAACTTCAAAAGGAAGTTAGCGTTTTCCTTGCAGAGGTGCTGAGGATTAAATGAGATAACACATGGAAACAGTAGTCATGTAGTGCACTTAGCAGATGGTGGTTGGCTCCCCCTGTTTTCCACCAGTCTGTGGCCTACAGTTTAAATGGTGGGGAAAAGGATGTGAGATTTGAGGCTGGGGAAGGACGCATGAGGTTCTAGGCAAGGAAGGCAGTCTCTTAGGCCTGGAGCAAGGGACCAGGGGCCTGGGGAGGCCACAGAGCCCCACAGTGCCCTTGCTACCCTATTAATGGGCCAGGAATCTGGAAGCCAGCTAGTAAATGCCCTCATGCCCAGGGTCTTCCTGCAGGTGGAGCTGAAGAGCCAAGAGGCTCAGAGTCTGCAGCAGCAGGGAGACCAGTACCTGTGTCACCTGCAGCAGTATGTGGTCGCTTAGCAACAGGTGGCCACTTATCAGCAGCTGACCTCTGAGGAGGTGCTGCACAGGCAGTTACTGCTGCAGACCCACCTCCTGGACCAGCTGCAGCAGCAGGAAGCTCAGGGCAAAGCAGTGGCTAAGATGGCCCACCAAAAGTTGCAGGAGACCTCGGGGAGGGAGTTGCTGAGGACAGGGCCCTGAGAGGGACAACCTGGCAACCTCCGTGCCCTCTCACCCTCTTTCCTGGCCTCTTAGGAGCACCTGGAAGCTACCAGCCAGCAGAAACAGCAGCTAAAGCCCAGTTGAGCCTCACGGCTCTCCCTGGGGAAGGTACGGGAGACCACTCGGAGGAAGAGGCGAGAGCCCCAGGAAGAAAGGGGAACTGTTAGCAGCATAGAATTGAGGAGTTGGAAGAGACGTTTAAGACAGCTGGTCATTATGCCGACCGGGTGTCCGCGCTAAGTTCGGTATCAATATGGTGACCTCCTGGGAGCAGGAGGCCATCAGGTTGCCTAAGGACGGGAGAACTGGCCCAGGTCAGAAAGGGAGCAGGTCAGGACTCCCGCACCAATCGGTAGTGGGACTGTGCCTGGGCAGTATAGCAAGATCTTGGTTCTTAAAAGTAAAAATAAAGAACAGCTCATTCCTCTCTGGGAATGGGCTGATTCAGGGTTACACAGGGAGGGTGGGGGCAGAGGTGGGCCCCCAGTACTTCCCTTGTTGGGTTGTCTGATGACCCCTCTGGCCACCCCCTAGAGGAGCTGGAGGAGGACATCTGGACAGTGAGGAGGGGGAGGCACCTCAGCCCATGCCAAACATCCCAGGGGACCTGCAGAACCTGGAGGCCAGGTGAGCCTGACTTTCCCTGCCCCTACTTTGTCACCTTCCCCGGCGGTCCCTCCCAGATCCCCTTATGTTCTTGGTTTCCCTGCCTTCTGATTTCTGTGGACTTTCACTCCTTCCGGGAGCCAGTGGTCAAACACCATTTCACTGTGACCAACAGGTGCACACTCTGAGCCCTGCCAGGGAGGGGCTGTGCTCCCCCTCCTGCCCCGGTTGTTCTGTGTATGTCCCCTACAAGAATACTCACCTCTTGCCTTCAGGTGGCATTTTTCAACAATTCGCTGGAGCCAGTGCCCAGGAAGAGCAAAGGGTGTGCATGCCAGCGCCTGGCTCACGCAGTGGCCTTCATTCCCAGAGGACCCCGGTGACCGGGGGGTGAGTCTGTGTGTGGGGAAGACCCATCCGAGGCCCCCCTGCAGGGGGGCCATTGGAGAAGGTGGCAGCTGAGTAGGTCCTGGTATGGGCCAAGTAACGGTGCTTGGGCCGGGCGCAAGGCTGGTGGCTTCTTGAGATGTGCGCCCATTATTTGGTGCTCTAGAGCAACTTTATGGAGGCACAACGTGGACCTGAAGAGCGGGTGGAGAAACAGAGCTTCAATTCATCCCACCTCACCGGAACAGACACCATAAGTGGTGGAGCCAGGATAACGCAGGGGGAGCTGCTGGGCCGTCAAGGGGCGCCCCAGCCTCTGAGCTGTGTTTCCTCCCACATGGAAAACTACATCAGGCCAGGGGGCAGTGGCCAAAATGCGGCCACTGGGAAGAGGAGGACATCATTCAGGCATGGGCCGCAGAGAACAGGAAGATGGCAAGTAGGGTGGTGCAACAATGCTCTGTTGGGGGTGGGAGTAGGGGTGGGGTTGACTTGGCACCGGCAGGCTGGCATGAACAGCTTAAGACACCCCCTCCCTCCAGGTGAACCCTGGCTTGAAGCTTGGCAAGGGACAGTGTTGCGGGCTTGTGGCGACGCACACAACGAGGGGTAGGCGACCAAATTCCTGACCAACTGGCCCAGAGC